ATCGAAGGCTATCGGCTTTGATTAAAAACTCTACCGCACTTGAGATTTGAACCCACGAACATTGAGTTGCTAGTCGAGATTCCTCACCTTCGGCGACTCGAGCGGATGAGCTTCTATCAAATTTTCGTTTATATTTACCATAACTCTAAAACCATATTTGAATACAGGAAATTTTCCGCTTAATAAATGGACGGCAAATATAAAATAAACCGGGAGGAAAACGAAACGAACACCTTCCACGAAGCTAACACAACATACGCCTATTTTTCTCTCCACATAAGCACAAGTTATGTTTATGAACATACGTAAACCATATCGTACTTATATGTGTGTGAGATTAGCATTATTCCTTCTGCATGATTTTGTTCTAGATCTGCGTACGGAAATTTTACAATCTGCCCTGAACAAATTTGGCTCTAGCCTTGGCTTTCGCTCCAATGAAATATAGTTCGACACTTTGGTCCGGCACTTTTCACCCTTATCTAGAAATTCTACATTTAATTCTATCCAGCTGTAAACAATTCTCGCTTGTTGCGTTTTAAATCTTACGGTGCACTTTACAACCGTCAATTAACATTAACTCCAAAATGAACTTTGAGATTTTTCTTATTTTACGACATTTCCAAGTAAACTTCTTTGGTTTCAACTTCTTCAGTGTAAACGAAACATGCGAAAAATTGTTTCTTTTGTTTTCATTTCAAAATTTAGTTGAAAAATTTTTCGCACCTTAGGAACGTAGCTTTTGGAGAAACCACTTGTTTTAGTCTTGTTTGCATGATATCCCGAATTGGAGACGTGTTTGAAAACGATGCGTTTTATTTCTGACTGGACCTTTCAAATGCTTGGCCGATAATTTATCGAATGTAACTTCAGTGGCCGCATATCGTGTGGGCATCAAATGCTTGTTATTTAAAATCTTTAAAAAAGCCATTATTTTGAATTTTTTCGTAAGTTTTTAGTAAGTCATCGTGGATAATGTGGGGCTAATTAGCTTCTCGCCTGCAGCACCAGCCACAGTCTTTGCAGTAATCGCTTTACGGCCAGGATAACGTGAAACCTAGGGCAATTGCAATTTTTGATTTAGTTTCATAATCTTCCTCATTTGGATGAAGGCTCACACGGCTGATCATAGACTCAGTTTTAACACCATGCATATTAATGAAAATGTCTTCTCATATTTCTATACAACGTACCCAATCTCGTAGTGTGATTGAAGCTTATCATGAAGAATAAATACACAAATATTTAACCCTTTATGACGCACTCCAAAACCCGGAAACTACGATTTTACCCAATCGTCCTAATGGATAGTGAGGAAAACATGTAACTATTTTATTCTTGTCAAGAAAGCGATTCGTATATAATAGATTCTTATATATATTCATATTAGAATTTTAGGCAAAGAAGAGACATTGCCAATTTTGTAGTGACTTCATTCTGATTAATTCAAGAATCTTAAATAAGTGAAATATATAAATATTAAATGTCCTTTTATCAAGTACCCTGGTAAAAAGGGAAATACTAATTCATACTAATTCATACAAACCATAGACGTCGGTGATAGCAAGCGATGTTTAACGCAAAAGTTGTTTCCATTTTGCTATATCAAGGCTATGTACCATACACTACTCAAATGTGAGTGAGTTGAATCAGTTAAAATTGTTTCCTTTCAATTCCATGTGATTTTAGTAATATTACATTTAAAGTATTTTGGCCGGCCTATTAACGCGTTTCACTCTCAGGTTATTAGATTTTGCTTTGGTAAAACTAGTGCTGTGCAATGCGGTTAACGTTTCCAAAAACAAAAACACAAACAAAGCAAAGGCTACGGAGGAAACGATGGGCCACAAACTAAAACGATCTGCTCCTTATACTACCATCTCTTTCGTATAATTACGTAAGAGCAAGTATTGGCGCAATAGTCTGGAAGATGATCAATATAAACTGATAAGCATTTAAGTCTCTATCCCTCCTGACATACAAAGACACTTTCAATTTAAATGATGAATATACCACTGATGACTACAAAAATTTTATTTACTGACGCGTACTAAGATTCTCATAAATCTAAGGAAACCAACCATAGAAAAGGATCGACATCGGAATTTGAGGCGCATTGATTACTTCTCCTATTGTGTTTCAACTCAAAAACAAAAAAGATTTTCACATATATAATAAGTTTACTCAAACTGTGCAAAAATTTGATTTGCTTTCTTTTTAATAACTGCGCACTTTTACGTCCAAAATCGCGTTAGCTAATTAACTTATGAAAACCTAATTATGTATGTTTTCATGCGTATATATATCGTGAGGCATTATTTTAATAATTCGATAATATTTCTCCACATAAATAAAATTTGACAGTTTTTGGGTTGTTTTAATCATTAATATGTGAAGTAAGCTACATAAACCAGTTTTTGTTTTATTTGCGCACTTCCAGTCTGGAAGTATGCTCGTTTAGCCGTTCGATTCGTACCACAAGTGTCTTCTTTGCAGTGAATTGTTTACATTATATTGCTCGTTAGTTTTTATTTTGTTTCTTAAGAAAGGATCAAAGTTAGCGTACAAACTAAATGCGAATAATGTTTAGGTAATGTGTTGACTTGCAGTAAAAATGAATAAAGCCGGTGCACATGAAACGTCAAATTGTAACAAAGAGGATCTATTGTATTGTGTAAATGAAATTCAAGTGCTCCGTTGAGCTAATTTGAAGCGCACATATATATTAGCGGTAAAGGCAGACCAACTTCGTTAGTGTGCACGGAATTAATCAAAAGTGAACAAGAATTTTCGATTTTTTTAAAAACTGTGCGTATGTATATGAGTGTTTTTCATGTTCCTTATATAGTAGACTTTTGTTTACTCACTTTGCACTTTAAGGTATATTAATCGCAATCTTATCACGTTTTCTAGGCCTAACAATGTCATGACATGATTTTCTGCCACTTATGAGAATCCTGGGGATAATTAAAAGGATGTCGATTTTGCTTATAGTTTGAATTTTCTTTATTTACCCAAACAAGTTGTGTGTATACATACAAGCTAACATAATGTACTCTAATTAAGCCACACATATTCTTTGGAAACGCAATACAAAGTACACAAAAAAATCTACGATCTCGAAAGCACGAAAGTAACTCAACAATATCGCGTAGGGAGATTAGTGTGAGTCAACTTCTTGGCTTTAGGAAATAAACAGGAGTCATGAGGACTTGCGAATTGGATGGTTGCTCTATCGCGTTTTTGTCAAAATATATTTCACGTGCAAAATTTTACTAGAAATCGCTGTCCACGCGTCCTTTCTCTCGGTTCTTCCAATGTTCGCGCTAACGCGATATGAAGCACGATAATATATTTAACTTGTCCCACTTATGCAGCTATGGTTGATAAGATATTTCCTTCGTATGAAATTCAGAATTATCGAGAATTTTCTGGAAGAATGTGTACATTTGATAGCAACCAGAACTGGAATCTCAAACTTTCTGACCCAACCGCCAAATAAGCCAAACAACCTCTTTGCCATTCGCTTGCCTAATACAATTTGACGTATGCAAATACGAAAAAATTATCGTCAGTCCTCTTAAAATTCTTTTCGACCTTTGAACACGTCGCGCATATATGAAGAGCCCGTTCAAACAAACATTAAAGTTTCGTTTTAAAAATTTTTTTCCGAATGCGGAAAATTTCCTCTGAATTTCGTTGTCTTCATTCACTGTATTCATTCCTCCAGCGGCATTCTACGGCATTAAAGGTAATCCATTGTTGTGGATGCACAGCCATGGCTGTGCATCCATTTGTGACTGAACTCCACTGATTGAACTCGTGACTGATTTCTCCAATTGCATAGTAGTTGCATGTAGATGCAAAGGCAACATACCAAACGTAGCAAATACGAATCTAAGAGCTATCGAAACCATTTGTGAAAGCCACAAAAAATTTTCTATTTCTTGCGTAAAAGTGAATATATGATTTACCCCTCATGTGAAAGCTTCGTGTCCTCTCAAATTGTCTTCATTTTATTTGTAAGCACAGCAACTAACATAAACAATTTCTAAACGAACTATAACACCAGCTTCAAGATAATAGTATGCTATTTTTGCAAAAATAATTGATTGGAAAATCCGCCTTTTAACGAAAACAGAAGGTGTGTTCCGCGGTCCACACATTAAATTAAAATGCATAAGCTTCCAACGAAACTAATCGATATTGAGGGCTGCTATATATTGATACGATTGCTCGCAAAGTGACGATTATGTCAAAGAAAAGTTTTGAAACCATGGCTGGTACTTCAGACATCATAAATCAAAGAAACCTTATCAATAACTATTGCCTATGATCCTTAAAATTGAGCTCTGGATAGCTTTGATGTCATGCGGGAATCGTGCTCCACAGAAGCTTTAGAGTTAGCTGCGTGCTAAGCCTTTTTTTTATTTAGTTTATTTAAGGCCTCACGTTGGAAGTACAATTACTATTTATAAAGCTATGACAAATTTAAACTCAAACTTAAACTTGGAATTTAAGGCTCCTCAAAACCACAAGGCATAACTTAAGCATTAGCATATAGCAACTCATTGGTATTGTTGTGCAATATTTAAATGGAAATCATATACTATACAGCAATTACAGAGCTAAGATGAAAAGATCTTCTTAAGAGAAGAAGATGATTGTACCTATCATATTTTTTGGCAAGAGAGGCATTTATATGGAAATAATATTTTCGGACTCTAGCATAAGTGCAGAAAAAGAGACGGGACACAAGATATAGGGGCGGGAATCAATTTCACTAATTTGTAGTGAATGTTTGGAGAACTAAGCTATAAAACATGCATTCATTTGCTATTTGCTATTAAGAGTAAGTAACATTTACTTGTGGTGCTGTTCTGACTAAAGTTTGAGCTAATGCTCGTACGCGTGTACACTTTACCTTTTATCTAATTATCCGTTTGTTTTATTTCCCTAATTACTAAAACAAGCTATTTTATCTTCATTCCTCTTTTCAGCTAATTGTTCTCGGCCCACAGTTTGTGCAGAGGAATTTACAATGATTTGGAAGAAGCATTAAAAAACGAATTCTTCACTTACTCCCTCCTCACTCAGAATATTGCGTTAACTAAAATTTCTAACGAATACAAGTGTTGAGTTTCGTTGACGGAGACGTGCCATCATTATGGCACATAGGCGAGCGCGTAATAAGTGTTCGAAAAACTCTAGATTGAAATACGTGGACAGTGAAATTATGTCCGCCTTTCATTTAAAAAGTTTACAAAATATTAAGCGCGCATTTACGTCATTACAGCGACAAATATCGGTCGCTTTAATGGTTGCATTTTTATTAATTAATAATCAATTTGCAAGTACTTGTTCACATGAGATCTCAACCACAGCAGGAACAACAGCAACAAAATCGTCGGATATCGAAAGTCTGTCAACAGTCAGTGCTGAACACAAATTGGATGACAATGGCATGGGTCATAGCCATAATAATAATGACTTGTCCTTAGTATTACCTCATGATACTTATCCTGGTTTTAGTGTTAAGCGTTTTAGAACTAAGGCGATGCATTTCGATTTCAACAACAACAACAACAGCAACAATATCAATAGTTCCAATAAACATTTTATGTTAAGCCATACAATGAATCGTCAAGGCTCATATCATATGCTGGATAGTGAATATGCGAAATATTTTACGGTATTGGATGATGGCGTGGTAATGACTACTTCCGATATTTCACCTCTAGTCAATCGTCCGGTGAATTTGGTGGTAGTAGAAGAGACACCGAATACAACGCAAACCCATACTCTACAACTGTATGTTATGCATCGCAATGATATGTTACGATTTCCAGGTTCAATGTTGGATGCTTCAGGAGAGATAAAAGAAAATAAGCCACCTGGTACAAGAGTTCGTGGCGTGCCTTTAATGCAAGCGTTCAGTAATGGTGAATTAAAAGAGAACAAACAAGTACGTTATTCTATTATAGGCGGTAACGCAGAAGCAGCCTTTGCTTTGCAATCAAAGCAAAGGAATAAGGCTGAAGAACGTTCCTCATCGTTAATAATAGAAGACGATGACGAAAATGGTGTTTGGTTGGTAACAAACCGACCATTGGATCGTGAGCACATCGCCCACTACGACTTGTCCGTTCAAGCGTCCGATTTGGAAGATGTCGACAAAACTGTTTCAAAAATCCAAGTGACAATATTAGACGAAAATGATAATCGTCCCATTTTCAAAGCACACGACTATAAATTCGCGTTGGCTGGTCAGAAATCTGCAGATTTAAATAACAATTTTACTGTTAGTTGGAAGCGTTTCACTATTCTCGGGAAAGTAGAAGCTACTGATGCCGACGGTGATAAAATAGCCTATCGTCTTAAACAACCAAGCAATACGGTTATCATGGTACCACAGACTGGAGAAATCATGTTGGTTGATCAGCCTCAGACTACGGAACTTTTAGTGGAAGTAGAAGCTCATGACTTACGTTATCCCAGTTTAGTTTGCTTACAACCCGCAAAAGTTTTACTCGAATTCTTAGCTCCCGAACCGGTGTCTTTTATTATGCAACATATCGATCATGATTCCGTAAACGATCACAGTCATCATCGTGAAAAACGACGTGTTACGCGAGCTGTAAGGCCGACTAAGCGAATAGAATTCACGGAAGCCGATGGTGATACCGAAGGTAAATCGGTTTTCCAGCTTGAAAAGGAAACCGATAAAGAAACATTTAAGATACGTGATGAAAATCCTTGGGTCACAGTGGAAACTAATGGAGCAGTACGAGTTAAGAAAAAATGGGACTACGAAGAATTAGGTCCAGAGAAAACCATCGATTTTTGGGTTATCATCACCAACACGGGACATAACGGTAAGCGAAATTTTTTTATATCAACTTTTAATGACCAACGATAACTACTTTAATAATTGTTTATAAGCTTTTAATAAAAATACTTCTCCTATTCATTAAGTTGTCATTATATCTTCACATTTTTTTGTGAAAAAACAAATTACTCACGAGAAAAAAATTCAATTGCTAGCAATTAAATAAAAAAACAAAGCACAAGAGAACGAACAAAAGTTGAACTTTGACTACTTTTAATAATACAAAGATAATTATAATAACGCTCATGCGGATGGATAGTCAGTCATTTGAATGACTGCTCGTCGACGTATTCGATGTTAAGAGGAGGCAAAAGCCTACACTGGCAAAATTGTAGTCATCTTCAAGTGAATTTTAGATACCCCTCACGGTAATCAAGCAATGAAGCAAACTTTCTGTCAAAGAAGTACAGGGAATTATAAAAAGCAAACAAAAAGGTTTGGACGCACTATTTATGTGTCTTTCGAAGATCGCTAAGGGTTGCTCTTTGAATTCTCCCTTGTGACTTCTGCGACCTCAATTCGTTTAAATGGCTTACCGTAAAGAGAGGAAGTAGACGCACGGAAGCATTGCCAGAGAACTGGCTAGAATTGAACTTTTGGACATAGCGGGAATGAAATAATCGAGGTCCGGCAAAACATGGCGAATGTTGAACTTAACAATCGATTAAGCACTTTAAAGGTATTCACTATATATGCAGATATTCTTAATCCAAACCCACATGTGGTAAATTTGATCGATGTTGTGCTTACTATTATTATAATTTTTTTTCTTTTTTTTTAATGTAAGACATCTCTTAGGGGATGCTCCTTACTCGTCTAATACAATGATAGTGAGAAAGAAGCGGGAAAAGAGAAGTAAACAGAGGGAGTGGTCTCACTAGTGGGTTGTGCGTGGGCAATCGGTATTACGCCTGTAACGACGCACAGCTCACTGTATCTACGACCACACATGCTTTCTACACGACTGAGATCTGAACTCGCGATCAGTGACCTGATAGTCGCGATACTCAGGTATATATTTGTCTAGCAGAGTAACGGTCACTCCATTAAAGTTCTCGAAGGTTTTTACCTCACAAAGCTTCTAAAATTTTCACCTACAAACCTGTCGTTAAAAATAGGGAATATGACAAAAGAAAAATTTAAAACCCGAATTCGAATAAAACTCATGAAAATAGTTTACAAATCGCCTTTAAAACGGATGCAATATTGGTTGTGATCGAAAACCATTTATAGCAATAACACATTTGCAGAGTAGATTCTTCAAAATTTTAAAAAGGCACCGTCTAACGCGTTCTCTCTCCGCTAAAATTGTAGATTTATATTGACTGCAGCTGCTGTGAGATTGTTAAGAATACCTTTTACAATTCTGGGTTATTTTAAGGTTAGGTTAACGTTTTAAGAAATGCGGCCGAATGAAGCCATTTTTAAAGCCATTTAAAGCCTAGAAATGTATGGGCAGAGCTTCACTTGCGATTTTGAGAGCTCCAAGAACAAACTAAGAGGGACTAACTAAGAACTATCTCCTGTATATCCCTTCGTCTCGTTGCCAACAAGACGAAAAAACTTACATTCTCATTTGTGCGTTTGTAGGAAAAAAAAAAAAAAAACGAATTACTAAACAAATAATAATAATTGCTATAATTATAGCGAGGAAGGCAAGCTAAGAATTGAAAGCAAATGACAAATGCTGCAGCAAATGTTTTATTATTTTCACCAAACATAAAAAAACAAAAAAGTATGAAGGGAGAGATTGAGATTCAAATTAAACATTCTCTCGTCCCTCGCTGTTAAGCGCATGAGCTACAGTTTGGTTTATTTGTGTCTTGTAAATATGAAGGAAACGGGATGACATGTGGGTGCTTGTAGTGCTTCGCAGCATATTAGAGAGCTCGAGTGCAGTGGGGGACAGCAAGTGCGGTATTTCAATTAGTATCTCACATGGTAGATATAAATAAACACAAAAAACAAGAAGAAAGAAAAAAAAGGAAAGCGTATACGACTTCACAACGTACTCCAAAAAAAGAATACTACAGTGCTTCATCAAAAACAAACCAACAAATGAAAGGAAAAAAACACACTTCTGTTTTTAATGTCATGAACCTGTCTGTCAAAATGCTAACTGGACATGTACGCATGCATATACGTATTTCTCCTACTTCTGCTTTGTTACTGTTGTCTGGTTGCTTGGTAGGTTGTTAGCTGCCGCCACAAACCCTTGAATGCAGATAATGTTGTAACATTTGTTCGCTCTGTGAACGCCATTCATGTGCACATACATATGCGGATGCTGGTGATGTTGCAGATGATGATATAGACGAGATTATGTTTTATATTCATTATGAGGATGAGCACGTTGCTCATATCTGTCACACTTGAAATGCTGACATAACATTTGCATAACAATAAAAAATCCTGCAAACTGATTTTGTTTTTGTTGTATACAGACACGTCTTCCTACAAATATATTTATTTCCCCACCCAGCCAAAAGTTACTGTAAAAAACATGTTAGCTTAAGCTTGCATATTTAAAGGTACATATTTGCATATGCCAAGTTAATTAGTTGATTGGTCTTTAGTATGTTTTCTCAATTTAAATATAAAATTTATTCTTTTTTCGTCTTGCTTTTTTAAATTATTAAAACACAATATCTATAATATTAATCTCCCAAGCCTGTTACTCTCTGTGTGCAGCTCAGATCCTTCACATGAAATATTTCATTATAATTGCACCAGAGCAATTTCGGAGATCCCTACGCAAATTCCCTAAATAAGCATTTATGCATATTTAAGCATCTGTTTGTTTATCTATATAATGCATTTGTAAGCGCTTATTTACGCTCGTGTTAATGTCTATCTACATATGTAGCATATAGCCAAATATATCAGGATTCATTTTTAATTATGCAAAAATCAATTAACTGTAAATAAGAAAATGTAATAATTATGCGCAATGTAATGAATGCTTATAAATGTATTTAAATTTATTTTTAAATAAAGAAAATGGTGGCAAAAACTAGTAAATATTAGAAAAGAAAATGAAGACAAAAGAGGTACAAATACACTTTTATTTCCTTCAATACCTTTAAAAGAACTTCGCTTTCACTATCATTAAAAAAGGATTGCATTTATATAACTGGGAAATATTCTCAAGACTTCTCATAAAGCCTGAGATTTTACTACTTTCTTATGTCGCCAGATCGTCTTCTTAACACACATGGACTGCATGCAAATAATAGAAAATGCATAGTTAGTCAAGAAACGTTAATTGTGAGCCGATTTTATTTTACACTTTTATTTCACTTTACTTTGTATAACCAGTTTACGCGCTTTTTATTAAAACAAGTGAGTCATCAATATGCTGTAGTGTTAGTTTTCTTGGCAAATTATAAGAAGAACATGCTTAGACCGCTTGATATTCACAATAGACAGAATCGAATCGAAGCTATCAGTAAATGACGATCAAAAAGTAGTTGTCAAAACGTGTAAGGCAACCACTTGGGAGCTTCAGAGGCGCTATAAGTTATACTTTATAGCGCGTCGACACTGTGACGATAGATATACAATTGCGATCGCCACTACTTATGCACTTTGAAAGATTGCCAATCCTGAATCGATGTGTATATGTCGGCTGGTTTTTTTGTCTTTCATTCTTACGATCGGAGAGATTAAGATGTTAACCACAAGTTTGGCAATAGCACTGGAAGTTGCAGTGCAATTTTACCTGAGCGCACCTCTGCCTTCAGATGCAAATAAATTGGTTTTCCAGTCGAGTACCCCTTATGTACAATAGATGCAAAGACAAAACTTCAATGTGCTTCTATACATGGTTCTGCAGCATGTGTCCTAAAATAGAAAGAGCTTGCGATGCCCGTTTTTCGGGTTTTTTGCAAAAATACGACCCTAGCTAAATTTGATTTTCTAACTTTCTCTCACGGCGTTTGCAAAAGTTGAAAAGGCTCATCATAGAAAAGAGACATTGTGGTCATCGATCTTTCGGCGTCTGTATAGTTTGTAGGTGGAACGCTCATATCAGCAAATTTTGAGGTATAAAAAGTGAGTGTTGACTTATAAATGTTCGTATTTAGCGACCGCAGATAAATCCTAAATCATAACATTACTTCTCTAGAATAGCTGCGACGTATTCGTAGCTATTAATGGCCATTCAATAACATTTCTCATTTGTCATGTAGTCAAACAAAGAAAAACTAATGAACAGTCTTAAGCTTTTATGTCAATTCGGTCTTGTTTCCGTACGTTTGCCTCTCCGATATCTATGGCTTGCAAGTAATCCCAATCTCACAAAATCATATCAGAAACCTGTCGTATGTATTCTTAGTTATATTTCGTAAACTAAGATTAAAAAGGAGGCTTTATAAACTTGCAAAGATTCTTATATTAGATGGAAAACTAAATAAGAGCACAAATAATCCCACTAAAGTCCCCCTGCAAAAGATAAATTATAATATGTTTGAAGCGAATGTTCGACTTCCGCACTTAACTTCTATTGAAATGAGAAAACATTACAATTATTGTACGACATAAGCACATCATACCAAAATACATACATATATCATATCTGATTAGAAGAGAAGGAATGCAAATTTCCATAATAAGGATACGATGTGTGAAAGCGTGTTAAATGTACATTCTGAAGGTAATAACAAAGAGGAGAAAAATAAGCGTCACTTTTCTTATATGTATATATATGGATTACAACATTTCTGAACTTAAGCTCAAGAGTTTAATAAGGAGATTTGTAACGTTCTAGACAAAGTTTAACGGAAGAGAAAAAGGGCTAACAACGAATCGATTTGGTAGTCTTGATGGCAGATCGACGAAATGAACATAACGGACTAACTTAAGATGACTTAAACAGCAACATTACGGAGACTGTTCATAGATGTATTATTGAAAGATATACAATTGAACCTGTTTTTGTGCGATAGATAGAGCCCGCACAAAAAAGATTTAAAAAGACATATAATA